ATTAAATAATTGTATTCAAATAAACCTATAAAGTGGGTTTACCCCAATAAAATCTGAATATCGTTCATATCAAGAGAGTAATATTCAATGATATTTTTTTCAGTGCCTCCCCCTTCACCCCATGTTATCATCCAAATCCATATGAAGCCATCAAACGCGTTATGGATGCTCTTTACTATCACTTACGCAAACCCCTTCCACCGCCAAACAATTGAATTGAAAGGATCATCAAATGGCGAATCCTGGTTAGAGGAGCCGTTTGAACAGCATCTTGGCCAAATTGCCGACAATTTGGGTTAACTGTAAAATTTTTGCAGGCCGAAAGAGCAAACAGGAAACAGCAAACGGCAAACGGCAAACGTGCAAGTTTTGACAAATACAAATGTGAATTGCGAACACTAAACGCGCTCAGCCCTCATCCTGATTTTCTATATAAAAGATGAAGACATCCCGGATTGACAGGCCAAGGAGTAGCCGGCGGGGTAAGTGCGAGAGGTCCTCATAAAACTCATTGGGGCGTAAAGGATGCGAATGCCTTTTAATAATAAAATGAGAAGCAAACTGCGCCCACGATTGGGTGAAACCAGCTCTACTCGAGATGGACAGGAGCAGGACCCACGACTCGACTGGCCTGCATAAACTAAGACTAAAGCCGCTTGTCTATGCCCAGGCACGTCTTAAATGTTCAAATTATGTAAAATAAAATGAGCGCAAAAAAAGGCAAAAGGAAAAGCCAGGCCAAAGGGATAACGGCGGGGGTTTTCGAGGGCTGACGTCAGCTCTGAGTGACAGTGACAAGAGCAGGACATCGGGAAGGGAGTGGGTCGAAGGATTCGCTTGGGCACTCGGCAATCCTGGCAAGGTGCAAAAAAGCGAGCTAAGATTGACACTTTTCGGAATACACTAAAAAAAGCAACTTCCTATTCTTAGATTCTCATGATAATGTACTAACAGAAAATCAAATGTTAAAACTCATTTGATTGAAGGAAAAATGATTTGATTTTTTACAAAATTTTTAGTTGCAAAATTATTTTGGTAAATCATTTCATGTGTGTTACAAATCCAGAAATATAATAACAGACCAAAGCCATCTACATTAAATGATATAATGATTTTATTGTACAAAAATATTTATATATTTATCATCTAAATCTTATTTAGTCCATCATTGACAAAAGTAAAATTAAGGTTGATGTCAAATGTTAGAATCATATTTTGGCATAGGTTTAAGTAAGTGGGTCCATTGAAAGTATATTTATATATTATATTACGAAATTAACATTTTGTACAAAGCATTTTTGCCGTTGGCCATTTGCATGCCGCCACCTCCCAATGCCCACTTCGATTCGCAGATCCTGCGTGTCCTGGCTAATAACCGTGAGTAACCAAACAGGTGCAGCTCGCCAGTTTGCTGTGATCAATCTTTTGCTAAGCTTTTGTTTTCGCCGGGCTTTTGTCTCTGGACAAAAGTTGGGTCGACGATGATGATAGGGGGGGAATACTTAGAAGTCCCGGGATTGAGATGTCCTTTGGGTCTGGGGTCTGGCTGACAGGCAAACAACGGCGCGTCCTTTTTTATTGTGGGTCTGTGGGTCTGTCTCGCTTTCGTCCTATGATTGATTAGCAATTAATTAGCTACACAAATAACTGTAATTATATGCGACGGAGAAGTGAAAGGAAAGGGGGAAGGGGAGACCTCTAATGTCAAGGGTCTCCGGCGGCGAGAATTACTTGCAAAAGTGTTCCACCTTTTTTTCGCGGGCCTCGAAACTCATTTGCATTTTGTTTTCGCTATTTTTTATAGGCCAATGAAACGAATTCGGTGCTCTAACTTTGTCACTTGCGGCTGCCATTTGCCATTGCTTTTTACGAACAATTCCCGGCTAATGACACTTGCTTCGGAATGAGAGGAGGATTCGTCACACAGCTGAGAAGGCCATAGATACGAGTATCTTGCTGCGATTGGGTTCCCATTTTCAGTCACCCCGAGAAGTTCGCAAATCAGTTGCAGTGCACTCAAAAAAAAAAAAAAACTGGGCCTCAAAAAGAATTAAAGATTAACGCTTTAATCAATCGATTCGCCTTACTTTTAAATTGAGGATTTTGTATACCCTAAAAAAACTTTTAAATTGTGTGCTTTAATTTTGTGATATTTTATCCATTAAACCTAGAAGTTAATTTTTTTTGTTGTTAATCTTAACACAAGTTGAGGACAACCTTAATAAAATTACTACTGGATATTACTTTTGCAGATAAGGACCTCATTTTTTTAAAATTTCAGACCATCCTCTCAGTGTCTATTGAAATAAGTATAATTTCATTTTCGAGTGTGCCGAATTTAAGCAGGAATCTCTTTTGTTTTAGGGCTCAATCGTCGCATTTTCTCTCTCCTCGAATCAATGGGCCGGGCCAAAAGTTGTGAGCTGTCCTGCAATTGACATCCCGACCGCTTTTTTGGCCGGCCAACAATGCATGACTGACCCTGTCAATATTGGCGACCCCGAATCCATTTGGTTGCCCCACCACATATGTATGAGATATTTAATGCATGCAATATGGATTGAAGCAGGGCTTTTTTTTTCATTTTCGGAGTGGGGAACAAGGAGTTCGGGGAGCAAAAGTGCGTCCAAAACTCATGTCATTGTTTCGCTGGACTGGAACTGCATTTGCCCCAGCTGCTGACATTGAGTGCTCCGACAGGCGACGTGTGTGGAGTTCCCTTTGGCCCCTGCCCCCGAATCCTTCATCCTGCATCCTGCATCCTTTATGGCTGAAAGCTTTTGTCGCTGCTGCCGTGCCACTAAACATGTCTCCTTTTTGGGCCCCCCCTTCCCTGTCCTTTTACTACTGGCTGCTCGCCAAAATATAACTTAAGTTTCTGGTCAAATGAATTTGGCAAAGGTAGCAGCCAGCTCGAAAAATTCAAAGCATACTTTTGGGAGCCGTCGCCAACGAAATTCGAATTTATGCAAAAATGTTTTTTCTTCGGAATGGAAAACTCGGCGAGAAGCAACCGCAATTGGCAGTTTAAGTGGCCTTTGTTATGAGTAAGTTTTCCATTTTTGCGGTGGCTTCTGTTTTTGCTTTGTCACCTGTTTTTCTTGTTTTCCCCACCGCACGAAACTTTTTACGATCTTGTCAACATTTTGAGTTGAGTGCATTTTTACGCCCCCTGACGATTTTCGGCGGTGCGGGGCAGTAAAATCGAAAAGTAATGCAATAAAATTCGCTTTCATTAAAAGCATTAAAATAGGTTTTTGACATGCCATAAAAATTGTTTCCACGTAAACACGCAGCATACACACACACACACACACCCGAGGAAAACTGCTGCTGCCACACTTTTCCGGCGGTTTTTCTTGGGGAAATCGGGGCAAGGGAGTGCGAAAGCTTCACGCGACTTCTAAATGGGAATTTTATTGTTCTGGGAGCTGTGGCCGACGCATCGCCATTAGCTCGCAACACGGCACTCCAGCTCACCTAGCCATCGTAAATCGCAGGAAACGAGAAAATGCGAAGGAATAGCTCATCTTCGCCGAGGGAAATCCCAGTTGATAATGCAGAATTTTCTTTGGGAGTGGGTAACCTCTCAAGAGATTGCAGAACTTCGTTATAGGATATTCACATACGTAAAATTATTAAATCGTATTCTTTCCCCTATATATCCCATATGCTTCTCGTAAATTTCACGAAAAATATGATGACATATCGAACAAATACTCGTATTCATAGCAATTAAGTGCGCACTTTATAGGTGGTACGCCACAATGCTCCTGATTCCTCATAATTGTACAGTGAAAAATAAAACACAGAGAAAAGTGGTCCTTAAATTATATAAATTTATTAAAATTAAAAAAAAATTCTAATATATTAATTAAAATGCACAACTTAATATTTATTATATTATTATTAATATATACATACATATTTTTTTAGTTTTCATGTTCTGTGGCTTTTTTCGTCGAAATTATTAATATTTTAATTGTGTTATTGTCCTCTTTTAAAATCTTTTAATTTAAACTTAAATTTTTTATAGAGAAAGGCTATTGTTTAAATTTGTATAAAAAGTTATAAGGCAAAATCCTTTCTGTCAGTGGTTGGTTATGTTTTTAGCTCGGACAATTGCTAAATGTTGGTCTGCTAAATGGGTGCGATACAAATCGAATGGGGATTTTATTTCAACGTTATTAACTTCAAATTACGCACACAAAAGCACTGAAATTACGGGGCAGACAAGTCAATGTCCAATCCTTAATTGCAAAGGACAGCGTGTGGCGAAAATATTTTGCTCGCTGGCTGGGAAATATTTTCATGATATAATAAATGAAATTAATTTCAATAATTGCAGCTATTCGGGGCTCGGATCGGTGGGCAATACTCTCCGAGAGGTTGATTTTCCCATCGCCTTCGCTGGCTTTTATTTAGGCCACTTATTTTATTTTATTTTGGCCATGATTCGCGATGAGGCGAGTGTGCGCGAACGTTTGGCGATGACCATGAAAACTGCTTAATCGGAAGAATGAATATGAACGTTCCAATTGCGATTCCACCCCGCCCCAGATAATAAGCAGAAAACATAAATAAACGAGGAGAGAAGCGAATAAATGTGGAAATCCAAATGTTTTCCTTTCCGTTCTTCTTTTTATTTCATTTCTATTCTGATATTTTTTCCATCTTTTTTTTTGCAGCTACAGCAGCATTTTTAATATAGCAAAAATCGCTGTCATATTCGGTCTCGCCCCCCGTCTGATTTTTATGTGAACGAGTGTTTTTCGCATTTATAATGCGGGGCCATATATTTTCATGAACACTAAATTAAGCCGGGCGAAATTGGGATTCCTTTGACAACGCAATCACGGGAAGAATTGAGAAAACTCTTACCAAATTATTTTGGAAAGCGTATACTAGTATATATTTAGTAAGCTCTGGGTTATGAGACAAAAAATTTACTCAATAGACAATAGGATTTTTTTAACCACACAAACATAACCAAATTTATATCTAGCTAAACCAAATTGAAATATTAGTTTTATATTTATTTTATACATTTCAAAAATTGTATATACAATGGATGTACTTTGTAAATTTTTGAGTAGCGACTTGTCTTGTTTGCTGAAAAACATTTTCAGTAGTATAGGCTTTGGATCTTCCACTTCTGATAGAGATGAAGATTTCGCCATTAAGAACGTGCAGATGAATGTTGAAGATAGGAGACATACTAATAAATCCCGCTTAGTGACACGTCCTAGTTATACAATAAGGCACCATTATCCAGGTCCTTTAATCACCTACGATGGTGAGGAGCGATGTGAGCCGCGTCTTATTCGCTTTTCAGACTTGAGCTGCAGCAAAGTGGAAGAAATTTTGAGGGATTGTAAGGATGAGGACGATGACAACGAGGAATGTATTGAATTATGTGAAGAAGATCATGATCCAAATGAAAATTGTGGGGAGCAGTATAAACCGTGCTCTGAGGTAATAAATGCATGTAAGAAAGAACCAAGTCCCTGTGAATTTATATGCCAGAAAGAGTCGCAGAGTTTTCCAGAGAATCAGGAAAAAGGTTGTCAAACAAGTCAATCCATAGAAGACTGCTGCCTTAAAGAAAATTCAGAGGATAGGATCACAGAGAAATCCAATGCTGAGCTTATGTATCTTGTAAGGAATCTCTTTCCCAAAAGAATTTGTAGGTTAAATGCGGGAAAAGAGGAATCCAGCGAGACAAGTCTTGAAGGAAATTCACCAAAAGAAGAGGAGGTCAGAGACAATGAAGATCGTGCTAGAGCTATATACGAAAACCAAATTGGTCCATTTGGTACGTCCTGGGAATCTTTAAAGCCAGCGGAAAAGCTGCGCTTTCAGTGGAAAGCTTTCACAGGAGATGAGCTGAAGGAATGTCCTTATGACAACTTTCGAGACACTTTCAACCGGAATTTTCGCAAAACTAATCCATGGGCCACAGGTCGCACGGTGAAAACTGAGAGGAGGACCGCCTGGAGCAACCTGGAGCGCTGCCAGCGGATGCCCTTCATACTGCAGTCTCTACTGTACCAAGTGACCATCGGAGCCATCGATCCCGAAGATCACTGTGCTGTTCGTGAACTTTTTCACAAGTTGAGATGAAGGGAAAAGAAGCATTTTCCATTTCCATTTCGATTTATACGAACCAGATGTTGTGTGGCCAATCTATTTTGGTGCTGAGCCTCGAAATTTGCAGCTCTTTTTTTCCCCTTTTCGGATCCCTCAACTTCTGCTCTTGAACCAGATTTGTCGAGAATAATGGATCCCCTACTTCTGGCCAAGGTCGCCGCTGACATGGCATTGGCACTCGATTAACAATTAACGCAGCAGCATTCAAGGTCGCGCAGAGATAACTCTCGGAAAAATATACCCACCTCTCTTGTGAAAATCTGGACTGGGGGCCGAATCAATTTCCAATGCGCATACATTAGCAATAAAAATTTGTTGTACTCCCAAAACAGAAACAAATAAAACAAACGAGAAGCAAACTTTTTAAAATGTAATTTCGCTGGCCGGCAAATAAATAAAATAGAATTGTGGCAAATCGAAAGTGAGAGCCAGGGAAATCAAAGTCCGCATCAGATCGGCGAATCAGGCATTATGCTAATGGAAACCTTGGGGGGGAAAAGTCTGCGGCTGGTGTTGGGTTTTATTGAAAAGTCAAAGGAAAGTGGGTGGTTGGTGGGCCGACGTTTATGGCCGTTGACAACTTTTGGCGAGCCGGGCATATAAAACGAAATGAAATGGAAAACTAAACCGAAATAGGAAAACTCAAATGGCGAACGATTCGCCACGAACTCTAACTCAAAAGCAGAGAGTAACTGTATCGAAGGAGTAGAAATTTATTGTTCCAGATATTGACTTTTATAGTGGTCCGATTCCGATTTATATCCCTTTCCCTTTTTTATTCCCGGGCTCATAATGCGCCTTCAGTTCAGCTCTCAGGGATTTTGGCGGATGCCCGTCTCCTTGAGAATCGAGAAACAATTGGCATTCGGGAATTTCGCATGCCTGCCACCGTCAGTCCAACAACCCTTTCTCCCCTGGAAAATACGCCCCCTTTGCCCACACCCTTACCTCTTTTTTATGGCAACAGATTTGGTTGTTTTGATATTCGGCACTTTTATTGCCTCGACCCAAGTTCGCACCTCAATTTGTCTTCGTAAATGTGAAAAATGTGGAAATTAGTTGGCGGTCCAAGTTCCTCGGGCTCTTCCTCTTTTCGGTTGGGTTTATGGGCAAACATTTCATCAATCACGGGACATGTCACACCTATCAGGACCGCTGACGCCTGGATCAGATGCAGATCGCCCCTTTGCCGCCTTCTAAAAGCTATGGCGAATCGTTAAAAAAAGGAGTGCGAATGCCACGCCCCTTATCTTCAGGAAAAGTGGGAGTGAACTTAATGGCTGAACCAGAATACAGTGGCACACTTTGTGGCACTTAACTGGAAAATAAGTTAAGGACATTTGCCACGGCTCTCATTATCAGATGATAAACTTGAGAAATTTGTAAGGTATCGGTTTCATTAAAAAGATTGCCTTGGGTAATTATCGATGGGATAAAGGGGGTGCAATTTATGTTTACAGAGTGAAAAATATATTTACTAACTTTTAAAATATTAACAAAATGTAGTGATAATTATACCCTTGCAGAGGGTATTATAATTTTGGTCAGAAGTTTGTAACGCAGTGAAGGAGACGTTTCCGACCCCATAAAGTATATATATTCTTGATCAGGATCAATAGGGGAGTCGATATAGCCATGTCCGTCTGTCCGTCTGTCCGTCTGTCCGTCTGTCCGTCTGTTTCAATACCGTTTGCGAGCTCAGTTTAAAAGCTAGCGATCTGAAACTTTCACAATCGTCCTAAAACATGTGTACGCAGATCAAGTTTGAAAATCGCCCCGATCGGACGTCTATATCCTATAGCTCCCATAGGAACAATCGGATATATCTAGCAAGAATTGATGATATTTCGCGCAGTGTAAAAGCTATTGACATGAATCTTTCCAAATCGTATTTTTTTATGCATACCTTGATCAGGGAAAAAGCGCGTGGCGATCGGACGTCTATATCCTATAGCTCCCATAGGAACAATAGGGTAAAATCGGTCCAAATTTTATGTTTTTCAGAATATTTCGCTCTGTGTAAAAGCTATTGCTATAAATTTTTTCAAATCGTATTTTTTTATGCATTCCTTTATCAAGGTAAAAGCGCGTGCTGATCGGACGTCTATATCCTATAGCTTCCATAGGAACAATCGGATATAACTTTCAAGAATGGAAGATATTTCGCGCAGTGTAAAAGCTATTAACATAAATCTTTCCAAATCTTATTTTTTTATGCATACCTTAATCAGGGTAAAAGCGCTTGGCGATCGGACGTCTATATCCTATAGCTCCCATAGGAACAATAGGGTGAAATCGGTTAAAATTTAATGATTTTTAGGATATTTCGCACAGTATATAAGCAATTGACATGAATCTTTCCAAATCGTATTTTTTTATGCATACCTTGATTAGGGTAAAAGCACGTGACGATCGGACGTCTATATCCTACAGCTCCCATAGGAACAACAGGGTGAAATCGGTCCAAATTTGACGATTTTCTAAATTTTTCGCGTAGTGTGTAAGCTACTGACATAAATTTTTCCAAATCTTATTTTTTTATGCATACCTTGATCAGGGTAAAAGCGCTTGCCGATCGGACGTCTATTTCTTATAGCTTCCGTAGGAAAAGTAGTTAAAGGCTGCGAAAGTATCCCTTTTTTTCTATTTTTATATGACATTTTTGCAGTATAAAAGCAATTGACATTAAACGATGCAAATCTAGTTTATTTATGTATACCTTATTCCTTTCGCTACTTTTTCAGTTTTAGCAATTTCGGCAAAGTCTGCAAGGGTATTAAAACTTCGGCTTGCCGAAGTTAGCTTCCGTCCTCGTTTTAATTTAAAAAGCACAAACTTAGCATGCTTTAATTACTTGGTCAAACAAATACCTACAAATATTTTATATCAAAGTGAGCTGGGATATTTTCAAAACATGAAACCGAAGAAATAGCAAACTTCGACTTCTGACAAAGGCTTCATAAGTATTTCCCCCATCCAGCGACATCACTCATCCATTTTTATGCAAAGTCGCAGGGCAAACACAAAACAGAATGTGGAAACCGATGGACAAACAACATTTGTCGATATCCAAACTCATGGTGATGGCTTTATGGCCGAGAGACCCAATCAACCCCGAAAGCTGCTCTTACGTTCCCCAGCCGATGATGGTCACCATTAACATAACAATAATTATGGCCGCTACGTTCTGGACTGACCATTCAGCCTGGAGACATTCGGCAAACACACTTACTATATAGATTTTGCAGTCATAGCAGAATTCAGACATCCTGCATCCGGTTGAATGGATTTGGCTTCCATTTTTTTTCCTCTCCGGGGGGTTGGTCAAATGTAAATCGCCGGATTGAACTGTGAATGTTCCACGTAATTAACTTCAATTGGAATTGGGGCAAAGTGCCAGGCTCCTGTTCTCCTTGTTTCCTGAATATATTCCTGGGGCGCTTGTAATTTCTGTGCTGCATTTCGCTCATTAGGGGAGAGCGGACATAAATTTCGATCAAAAAATATAAATTGACAGGCGTGGAGATTTAAGAGGCGCAGCTTAGCTCGCTCAAGATGCTCCGTATCCTCCGGCAAATCCAATTTCCGAGCAGAACTCGCACGTACGGCAGAGCTGCCGCCTGCAACACTTTCAAATCTCAGGATTCAGGACTCGTGTTCTCAGGACTCGGCCGTTTGTGTGAGCAGGTCATGTCGCGGTCATAAATACAACAATGCCGCCAACGCCGCCGCCGCCGCCATCGCCAAAACTTTCGCGAGTGTCGCGAGCGCCATAAATTTTCCTCGCAAAAACTCACGGATTTATGTTTGCGAAGCGCAGGAGATAGCACTTGGGCGTTCTTTAGGGGGGACATCCTCATCCTCGAGATATAATCCACTTTAAAGTTTCCAGTCCTCGGATTTCTCGGCTCGGTTTCAGCCCCATTCATGTGATAGGCGAAGGATATCCGCTTTTGGCAGCCACATGCACTGGTGTTCTCCTCTGACACGACATCTTATCCAATTTGCATTTAACGCATTTTTTTGGCCAATTTCGTTTGGCTCTCGGCTCTCAGCTTTCAGCCCGTAAACCTCCTTTTCAACAAATCCCATTTGCAGCGATTTGCATTTAAGGCTGTCCGTGAAATCGAGACGAGCTCACACAAAAATTAATAAAAGTGCCTTCTGGTTTTTCCCCGCCATATACCATTTTACCCGGGGTCCCGACCGCAAGTAAAAATGTTCAATAAACGTCCGGCTCGAAACGAGAAGTCCAACCGCAAACGCCTTCAATAGCCGAGTCTCGGACATCCAGGGGTCCGGCAGTCAATTTGGAATTTTTCAACGTTTTAGACGTTTCCACAAAGAGCGGGAATAGGGAATGTGGGATGTGGAAGTTGGGATATAGGATATGGGATATGGGATATAGGATATAGAAGCAGCTGACTTTGACAGCGCCGCCCGCTGTCCGTTAGTTACTCCTAGTTTGCGGTTCCGCTGCTCGAAATATTGGCGGGATCCGAGATGGGTCCAATTAAAAAACAGGAAGAGACATGATGAAAATTTTAAGACGTGTTATCCGACTAAAAGACACCTAAGCTGTTTCATAAACTGCATTAAGAGCTTTAAACTTTTAATAGTTAACAAAGCAAAGATGTTGTTAACAAACCTAAATACATAAAAGAAATTTTAGAAATAAAGGATACCTTTTTGCAGTCATTGGAAAGAGTTTTTATTTAGAGATATTTACTTATATGTTATTTAATACGGTTTATTTATATTATCAATACTTGATTTATTTTTAGTAATATTTGTTGAAACACTGAATTTTTGTTTGTAAGATTAAGTCTAGGTGATGACAATGATACTATCTTTAAACCATGCTTCTCTCTGCCTCATCATACCCCGAATAAAAGCCATTAAAAGCAATCGGGCCAGTTGCAATTGCCAACAAGTTGGGTGGGCGTGACCGCCTCTTGGCACCGATGCACTGAGCGAAAAATGCCCAGCATTTTAGGAGCAGCTGCCTGAAACAGAATGCGATCCGAGTGGGTGGTTGGGAGCAGGGAGCAGGGAACTACGGAAAGAATTAGATGGGTTGGCACGGAAGAAGACCTGTCCTGGCCGGGCCAACTATTAATTAGGTTGTTAATTTTGCATTTGGCGGGCGTCGCTGGCTTTTCCCGTGAAAATTGCAGCGGAGCGGAGGCGACGAAATGGAAAACACACGTGCCATGTGGCACGATGATAAATCTCCGCATTTGTGCGACACCATAAGCAAACACATGTCGCAGCTTGGCCGCACTTCCCGTGCTTTTCCCCCCCACTGTACTCGTGTTTACCCCCAAAACTCCACCATTTTCACCCCCTTCTACGGAATGCACCTGTCTCAATTAAGCGTGCAAATCGCATGCCTGTCAAAATAAAATGTTTGGCGTGTAAAAATATGTTGGCAGCCAGCGGAGATCTAAGGCGATCATAAAGATGCACAGAATATGGCCAAAGTTTTCTTTCGAGATGCCAAAAGGAAAGAGCAGGGATAGGGATTTGCGAATGGGACACACCCAGAAGATGTCGTTGTCAACAGCACTTTGATCATGCCTAAGGTTGATTATTTGCACAGCATTCTACATTGCAAATGCACCTCTAATGATGTTCATGCGTAGTAAAATCATGTGATAATTGAGTGCGAGGGGATGGAGACTGGGTTTTCTCTTATTAAAATGTGCATTAAAATATTTATAAACATCATTTAATAACAAGAAAGAATGCTTATTTCGCTCTTCAAGTTTTAATTAAAATATTAAAATAATAAAGAAAAATCTGCACCGCGTTTAAATCATTTTAATTACTGAAAATGCTATGCTTATATACAAAAAAGCATTCAATTAAATGTTTGACAACTATACAAAGTGTTGATACTTCGACATCTCCCCATATAAACTCGGCAGCATATGCAAATCAAACGCTTTGTCTGCTCTTCGTTGACAGTGTTGATGTTTTGATAGATTTCATTTGGTCTGCACTGAGTTTACCAAATTGAGCAACAGCCTGCGTGGAGATGGGATGCCTCGAATCCAATTGATTTTTTGCTAAATAATTCCCCCGAAACGCAGCATCAACGCCTCGTTAATTAGAGGATGCCCGCCTGTCGAGTGGAGCTAAAACTAAACAGCCGTGACAGTCTGCGGGGCAATTGACATTTTGATAAATCCAGGGGATGGGGAATATATCGCTACACATGTTCTCCCAAGTCTTTAAATCAGATAGACGCAGTGCAAAACTTAATGATCTGTGCCTAAATGGAGAGAGACCGAAGTCAGATATGACAAGTAAAAAAGAATTTATGGCACTAAACAACATCAACAAAGGCAGTAGCACAAACTAACCACCCCGTATCGCATTTCCCATTTTCCCCATCCTCCGTTTTTGCCAAATTTTATCAGCCTCAACGAGACAGAGAAATTCGCACAAATCACGCAAAAATGCTGCACACTTAACGTGAGGGTGAATTGGTAGGAAAAAATATAAGGAAGGGATGGGGTTTTAGGGTGACAAGGGTGAGCCCAGAAACTGATAAGAACTTGCAGCCTAATGCAGGGACTCCTCCTCAACAACAGAATTTTGCAACAATTTCCGATTTCCATTCGGGGAAACTCAGGACCAGGACCAGGACCAAAGGACAAAGGATACTGGCCAAGTGGCAGCATTTCAATTGCCCCCCGAATATAGAAAAAAATCGAATTGAAAAGTCATAAATTGTGGAGCGGCATTTAGGAGCGGACTGGCACGGAAATGCGCACCATGCGTGACCAATTATTGAAATACGACTTTAATTGAATTTCAATAAAATGTTGAGCATTTTGCACTCGCCGGCGGAAGAGGAAGAGGTCCTGGGACCAGGATCACAACCAGAACCCATAACCAAATACCCAAAACCGGTTCATGTTTATTTATGGCAAATGGCAAAATGTTAAAACTGTGGCAATTGTTTTATTCCGCGCTTTTGTTGCCATCATTTGTCCGCGCAGTTGGCATTCCGGAAAATTCACGGATACGTTCCTATATCGATATAGTCTCGGCCGATTTGGGGGCAATTTGTTTAGAATATGGCTATATGGCTGGCTGGCTGGCCGTGTGTGTGAACCTGATGTCCGCGGATCCCCACTGATTTATGGCCAACGGGTTGTGTCAATAGTTCGTGGCTGATTTATGAATTTACCCCCGGCAAGGTAGCTCCAGCTGGGAAAGGGAAATTATGAAAATTATAGCCAAAAGTTCACCGCTCTGTGGAATACCCCTCAAATGGACGAAATCAGCCAACTGCAAAATGTCAACTCGGCCCACCCGCAGAGCAGTTCCGTGATGATTACTCTTGGTCTGCACTTAGAGAAAAAGTGTACTTTAAAGTAAAGATTAATTTAAGCCATACAAAACTTAGATTAATGATACTCCTATTTTAGTGCACTTATCTTTAATATTGGACAGTTTTAAAACAGAGACCAACCGATGTTCAAAACTAAAATTTTTCATTAAGAAACGTTTTCTAATAACTCGACTTATTTAAACCTGATTACAAAATGGATTGTCTTGTTTAAATTCTATATTATTATATAATTAAATTTATATTAAATGACTTTAAAATCTGAAAGTTGTTGATATAAATATTTACCTTTTTTAGAGCAATTTATACAAAACGAACACAAGCTTTAGCCAAAATCTGGCCCTTACTTTTCACAGAGTACTGAAACAAAATGATTTTTTACAGGCACAAATATACATTTTAGAATATCCAAATTTTTTCTAGGTGCAAGTCCAAATCAAGGGATTACAAGCGACAATTCGAAGTGAACTCTGGACGGAATCAATCGCACTGCCTTAAATGGGGGTGGAGTTGGAGGTCGTTGATTGAAGGTGGAAAGCCGCTGGGCCGTGTTTTCGGGGTGGAATCGAGTGGAAAACCTTTGCCATCGGATTGGCAAGGGTTCATCGGCTGTCGACTGGCGACTGCCGCATTTCGGGTGTCGATTTTCGTGTATGGCATTTGACATCGGCGCATGACAAAAGTCACATGGCCAACGGATTAGTTACACCTTCTGAATTCGAGCACACGTCGCGAACGGTGAGATGGAAGGTTTTTGGGACGGCAGCTCTGCTACATTGTTGCTGTCCGCTCAACTGTGAGCTGAATTGAATGCGAAATGGTGAAAACCAAATGCCGAATGCATTTTCCGGCCAGCGAGTGCAGAGCGTGCCTTGATTTATTCCCGATTGTGCGGAGATTAGCGCTAATGGCTGAGGCCAGTCCGCCGGCAGCTGCTTTTCCGGCGTTTTCAGTGGTCGGGGGATGAGATGGGATGGAAAACTGAAACCTTTAAGCATAATTGAATTTGGCCACATAGTCCCAGGACATTCACCTACTTAAGCCCAAAAAATGGCCTCTGATAACTAAGCCAAATATTAGCCAGGCCGCCAAAGACAAATGCCATGTGTGTCAACAGTTCATCGAGGCGTCAATTACTTTGCATAACGTCGGGGGAAAATCGGGGGAATGGCGGATTGAGTCCTTCAAGACAACAAATGAATTTTAAGTGCGACTACGGCCAAAAGAAACGGCCAAGAAACGTGTGCGTGCGACTTAATCTGCTCTTGGCCCGCTTAGCACACACACACATATGGGATGCGACTAGGCCTTCCAGATATTATCCGCTTATTTATGGCCGTCGTTAACATATCTTAGCCAACTGGAGTTTATCTGGCGGCAGCTGTGGGCCACTGGGCTCTAAGTTAAATGAGCCGGGATTTCAAATGGAATATACCATATACATATACATTGGCTAAGTGAAATTGTTTAGTTTTTGCACGACTCCCGTTTCCAGTGCAAGTGAAAGTTCCTAAGTACGTGACGATTTGTTTCATTTTAAGCGAATTAAAATCTAGACCCAAATTATATGTGGCCTAAGCAGATGACTCAGACGACCAGGCCACTTTCATTAGCCCCTGCCCCCCCTCTCCGGGAAAATAAAACCCCTTTTACCAGCCAATCAATAATGATGTTCTCCGGTTCTCGAGAATAAATGCTAGGGCATTAGGCCAGGCCAGGGCATATTTAGAAACCCATTTTCACATGGCACAAGAGAACCACACTAAACCAAAGCTGACCCAATCTGCCAATCTGAATGCCGACCCGGCCGAAAAGATAATGATTAATTGTCAATTTAGGTGGGACAATGACAACAGACTGGCCCACTCGGCCCGAAATGGCCAATAAACGGTTCGGTCGACAGTTACCTTAAAAGCCTGCAACAATTCCGGCATCCGGTTGCCAAAGCCTACCACTATCCCATCTCATGGATACCCACTCACATGTCCATCAACATGAAGATGCGGTCTGGAGTTCCGAACTTGACTGGCCTGACATGTGGAAATAAATGTACTAGAAAATTACCAACTTATGTAATCTTGGTTAGCATCATTTATCAAGCGGACGTTTTGCAATTTTTCTTACTTTTGCGGCCAGGAGGCAGCCAGAAAAGGACGAGAGGACCAGACTCCAGGACCAGGACATGTCGAGAAGTCGGACTCAGACACACATGTGTGTGGACTCAGTCACAGTCGCAGGAAATTGCCATTTCTCAGTCGTCCTGGAAGGGGGACGTAAATTTGTCATACCTTGGAAAAGGCTCTGCCGGCTAATTGAAAGAAGTGGTCCTTGACTTGGCCCACAGATTTCAGAGATTTCACCTTCTTAAACTTACTTTATCTGAAGAAATACTACATTTAAGCCTTGCAAATTATAAAGTAAATACTAACTTAACAGATGTATTTATTAGAAAATTAAAAAAAAAATAAAACAAACTTAAAGTGATGTTGCCAGTTACACAGAAGCGGGGACAACGCCTTGGAAAGTGATTAAAATAGTTCCTCCTTCGAATTTAACATTATGGCTTTGACCCAGATGTCACCATTCATCTGCTTATTGTGTAGAAGTGATGTATTTCCAAATTTCGAGTGTATCAAGCTCCGACAGCGCACATTACCCCAAAGACTTACCATTCGAAACCGCTTCGCTAGTCCAGCTCCGCAACGGAAGCCACTCGCAAAGGCGACGTAAGATGCGCGATTGGCCGGATAGTGGACTGCTGTTATGAGCCAGCAAAATACGCAGTACTCCTTCAACTCCAAGGAAGACTACAACACCACCCTGGAACACATGAGTCGGGAGTTCGACGAGCGCTGGAACCACCAGACGCAGTCGCCCTACACCAATCTGGAGAACTATGTAACTCGAGCTGTTCTCGGCAACGGCAGCTTTGGCACTGTGGTGAGTTGAAGGGTTCCTTGGGTTCCTAATCCTGCATAGTCTTAGATAGTAATAACTTATTTTGGATATATGACCATCAGTGCTTTCGATTACCTATTTTATAATTAATTTGAATTATTAGATGCTGGTCAAGGAGAAGTGTGGCAAGAACTACTACGCCGCCAAGATGATGAGCAAGGAGGATCTGGTGCGGCTCAAGCAGGTGGCCCACGTCCACAACGAGAAGCACGTGCTGAATGCCGCCCGATTCCCATTCCTCATCTACCTGGTGGACTCCACGAAGTGCTTCGACTACCTCTACTTGATTCTGCCTCTTATAAACGGCGGTGAGCTGTTCAGCTACCACCGCAGGTGAGTTCTTTGGCTGTGTGCTCCTGATTCTACTGATAGCATACTGAGGCTAAATGAATCTCCCCCAAAAAAGGGTTCGCAAGTTCAACGAGAAGCAGGCCCGCTTTTATGCCTCTCAGGTGGCTTTGGCCCTCGAGTATATGCATAAGATGCACCTCATGTACCGCGATCTGAAACCAGAGAACATCCTGCTCGACCAGCGAGGCTATATCAAACTCACGGACTTTGGTTTCACAAAGGTGGGGGAAACTAGATATTGAGGAGTGCTACAGAAATAACTTGGTTTTCAAATCACTTGCAAAGGTGTCTAAAAGTATGCAATAATAAATTGCGAAAGAGGGATTCAACTGAATACAGCTTTAGGAGAGATTTTGACATCCTAGTTATTTCTAAGGCACCTACCACTGAGTTCCTTTTACATTTCTTTATTTCTATCCCAAAAAAAACGTAGCGAATAGATGGGCGCACATCGACTCTGTGCGGAACTCCGGAATATTTGGCCCCGGAGATTGTGCAACTCCGGCCGTATAACAAATCGGTGGATTGGTGGGCCTTCGGGATATTGGTGTACGAGTTTGTGGCGGGGCGCTCGCCCTTCGCCATTCACAATCGCGACGTCATCCTGATGTATTCCAAGATCTGTGTCTGCGACTATAAGATGCCAAGCTATTTTACTTCCCAGCTGAAGCACCTCGTCGAGAGCTTGATGCAGGTGGACACCTCAAAGCGGTGAGTGTCGGTGGGCGGGGGGATAAAGAATTTCCAGGAGGTGCTCATGCCCCCCTTCTCAGTTTAGGAAACTCGAACGAGGGCGCCATGGACGTGAAGGGACATCCGTGGTTTGTCGGAGTCGACTGGTTCGGCATCCTCAACCAGGAGGTCACCGCACCCTACTTGCCCACCATCAGCGGCGCCGAGGATCTGTCCAACTTCGAGAACTTCGAGTTCAAGGACCGCTTGAAGTCCCGAATAAATCGACATCCCGAGTTGTTTTCCAATTTTTAAATGTAAAATTTGTCCGTAAAAATCGTCGTTTTCTTTGTTATATTTAATGTGGGCATTAATTAGGGTTTGGGCATTACTGTACAACGAGAACGGAAACAAACTCCGCCGCTTCAAAGATTTAGCACCCTCGCAATCACAACGAAAATGGATGGAAGCAAGCACTGTGCTTTGTTAATTCCCCGAAACCAATTTTAGCCCGATCTTTTGTATTGCAGCTATATGACATAGTCTTTCGATAAAAAATACTATTTGAAAATGTCGGGTTCACTACGATTTAAGCTTCTAAAAAAATTGAAATACCTCAGATACTGAAAAAAGGGAGTATTTAAAAAAGAAAAGTTATCGCTGAGTTCTTAATCATAAATAATTTTGCGTATACAAAAATTGTGCGTCAAATTTATTGCTAGTATTTTATTTATTTTTTTAAGATCAACTTTTAACTTATTTGTAGACAGACAACCACGTAACCTTATTTCTTTAAGTCATTTTATAGTTAACTGCGTTGCAATCTTTTAATAATGATACAAAAAAAATAAAAATTTCGAAATTTTGGTGAAGTTAATTATAGCAATTATAGCGAAGAGCCCAAAGAAGCGAAAATAGCAAAGTGGAGTCGCAATGGGACCGGCACCCGAGCAACCGCAGATGCACTTCAGTCCCAAGGTGGACTACATCCTCATCTTGGACAAGTTGCGCGAGGAATTCAACAAGAAGTTTTCCCTCAACATTCCATCGCCCAGTACTGGATTGGACGACTATGATGTGAAGGCCACCCTGGGATCCGGATCCTTTGGCAAGGTGCAATTGGTGAAGGAGCGGGAAACTGGGGCATACTATGCCTCCAAGCAGCTTAGCAAGGATCAGATAATCAAGACCAAGCAGGTGAGCCACGTGATGAGCGAGAAGAACGTGCTGCGATCGATGATGTTCCCGAACACGGTCAACCTGATAGCCTCCTACAAGGATTTCGACAGCCTCTATCTCGTCCTGCCCCTCATTGGCGGCGGAGAGCTTTTCACCTACCACAGAAAGTGAGTCGTATAGTCTTGTATTTAACCTATACTTTCCCAATTTTGATTATACTTTCTAGAGTACGAAAGTTTACCGAAAAGCAGGCTCGATTCTATGCAGCCCAGGTTTTTTTGGCTCTGGAGTACCTGCATCATTGCAGTCTGCTCTATAGAGATCTGAAACCCGAAAACATAATGATGGACAAGAACGGGTACTTGAAAGTTACCGACTTTGGATTCGCCAAGGTTTTCCTGCTAAGCTTTCCATATTTAAGAGACATCTCAGAGTTTTACTCAACCCGCAGAAAGTGGAAACCCGTACGATGACTTTGTGTGGGACGCCGGAGTACCTGCCACCGGAGATCATCCAATCGAAGCCCTATGGAACCAGTGTGGACTGGTGGGCATTTGGCGTGCTGGTCTTTGAATTCGTGGCCGGTCACTCGCCCTTTTCCGCCCACAATCGTGATGTGATGAGCATGTACAATAAGATCTGCGAGGGGGACTACAAGATGCCCAGCTATTTCAGTGGGGCACTACGTCATTTGGTGGATCATTTGCTACAGGTGGACCTATCCAAGCGGTAAGTTTCGTTTAACCGATCAATGGTGACCGCAATTGTATATATCTTTTTCAGCTATGGCAACCTGATCAATGGCAATAAGGATATCAAGGACCACGAATGGTTCAAGGATGTGGAGTGGATACCCCTTCTAAATCAGACGGTTAATGCGCCCTATGTCCCGAACATCAGCAATCCGGAGGATATATCAAACTTCGATAAGGTCTCTGAGAAACCTCGGCCCAAGGCCAAAACCATGCGACATGAGGAGGCCTTTGCGGATTTCTAAACTGTGTATAACTTGTGATAGTGATAGACCTTTTGATTCTGTAAATTTTTGGCAGCATTAGCTAATCACTCGACTCTAGATTCCCCTTTTTTGTATCGATCTACGACAGCTGCTGCTCACATGGGAAATGTCAACAGCTCTGAAATTAGAGGGGGCTGTTTTCCCCGTTTGAATTTTACTGGGAAAACAGCTGGCTCTCCGTGACTTTGTGATTTCCCACACTTGTTGCGCTATTTTCCGATTTCTGGGCAGCCCCAATTCTCGATTCGACAAACTTGACTTGTAATTAGACTAGAGGCAGTGCCATAAATCTTGTGCGTTTGTCGCTGATGCAAGTGGATGGATTTATGGCCACTTTGTTTATTTATCTCCAAGTGGGTGTAGCTTTCGCTGAAAGAGTTCTTCGCCTTCTTCATCTGGAAACTTTTGCACGAAATTATGTTAAACAATATTTAAACGAGCTCTTTGCTAGCCTGGGGCAGAGTCATAAATCTTTTATACCTTTTTCTGCTCTTCTGCATATCGGGCCACATTGATTTATATGCAAAGACTTAATAAAAATAGAGCAATGGCCAGACGGCAGAAAAACTAGACGCCAGTCCATGGTCCAAGGTCCAAGGCGAATACCTTTCCATGGCTCCTTTGTCCGGCTAACAAAACAAAGGCTCTCGAGTGGGGAAAGGAGATGTGGGTGGAAAAAGTTATGATTATCATAATTTTTGTTACGTGAGTTTTCATGTGGAAAAGATGAAACATCATCGTCTCCGTCGCAGTTTTCCCCCGAAGTCGTCTCTCTCTGTGTCTCGGGGTTTTCCTTGCTTTTCCTCCTTCGGGGTGGAAGTCGTCATCGCTGTAATCATGGCACGCATTTACTCCTGTTTTTACCTCTGCTTTTTGGCGCCCGCCAGGCCGGCGCCACTTTCAGCTCCAGACCTCCAGACCCTCAAACCCCCCTCCCCATAGTATCTTCTATGGCTTCAGACATCCAGACACATTTTCTCCGTGTTGTGTTTTGCTTTTCGCATGCGTTTTCGGTGGTTTTCGCAGGAAACAAGGGGCTCGCACTTCCTGGCCAGACTGCGAACCAGAGATAGTAAGACATCATGCATTCTAATGAGAATTTTAATTGCAGCCCATTGACCACTTGAAGAGTCCTGTCAGCTTTCGTTCCGGAGCGAAGTTCGCTGGGCACGTGGCACGGATGCGCTTCATGCTCGACTGGCCTGAGAATATCATCGGGCCCGTAACTCGTTCCACTCGTATAACTCGTCACCCAATGACAAATTTCCAGAAATTAGCGATGCCCTGCCTCAGATACATTTCACATTACGGACGGACAATTGAATCCCGGGGGTTGATGCTACTGCTTTTTGCTGCTCATCTGTAAGCGAATTAATTGTTGTTTTGATTGCGCTGGGAAAGTTTTTTTTTTGGGAAAATGAATTGTGCACGTTTATTGCATGGATCGGTGAAAATTCGTTACGAAACTTATGTGATACTAAGCTACCAGACTAAGACTGCTCCAGTTCCACTTCGACGGAAACTGACGGCAGGTCTTCCTTAAACTCGGGCGTGTAGATTTTTCCAGAGGCCAAAACAAACTGCTCCTGGCAGTCCACAATGAAGTAGGCAAAAGGACGATTCACCTCGAAGCGTTCTACTCCGGGCAGTTCGGGTTCTGGTTCTGGTACAGGCAGTACAGTGGACTCCAGGCTGGGTGAACGAGCCTGCGTGTTGGCGGCTGACAATGAATTGGCACTACTGCCTCCTTCGTCCACTCGCACATTCACAAACTGCACTATCTCATCCACATGCACGTCGGGATCCTCGGACAGTAGACCCAGCTGAGCCTCGGTCCTCGAGAAGACCTTCTTCAGACCCATCTGCTTGAGCATCGCCTCGGAGCGAGAGGTCTCCTCCACTTGGAACTTGGGCAGAGACACATGCATCTCCTTCATTTGGAACTGCTTCTTGGCCAGCAGGAAATCACTAGTTTGCAGCTGGGATATCACATCACTCAGACCCTCCGTTTCGTCGGGCAGGACAATGCACAGTGCATATCGGGATGTCTCATAGGGCAAACTCAGAACTCGAGCCTTGACCTGGGGAAGATCTGCCACCTGGAATTGGCCGCGGGCGTGCATCATTGGCGCCTTCATCGCATCCTCGTTGGTCATGAAGAAGAACTCATCGCTGCCATCGCGCAGTTGGTAGAAGGGATTGGCCCAGCTTCCACGATAGTAGAGCCCGTTGAAGAGCAGCATCTTGGACTTGGATCCTGCGGAGCGACCCGTGATGGAGTTGGCACTCAAAGCGGAAGCGATGTCGTCCTGTCGGAACAAGCTACGGGCGCCATAAATCTAAAAAAAAAAGATTAAAAAAAATAAGTAAATTTTAATAACTATAGATATAATAAATTATAAACTTAAAAAGATATTAAATGGTGTAAGTTATTGCTATTGGCTTATTACAGTTGGCAGTTTATAATGCTTTCTATTACACAAATATTTATAAATATTTCTATCTTGAACTGGAACCTTTATTTCTTAGAATGTATCAACTCACCCGACTAACGGCTGCCAATTGCGACTCCAGAGCGATCATTACTTCATCGGCGCCATCCTTGGTCACCGCCTTCACGGCGCTCTCCAGTTTCTGGAGGGGCAGGCGCACCTTCTCGGGTTCACCGGCGGTCACTGCGGGATCGGATATGATCTTGGCCAGTTTCTCCTCCTCCTGCACCGTCTCGTTCTCCTCCAGGTTCTTGATCTGGCTCTCCTCCTGGTCGCTGCGCTTGTTCTGCTGCTTCTCGGCTGGATTTTCCTCGGCTGCCATGTCTGGTTTTTCCTGTTTTTCCACAGCAACAACAGTGGTAGTGGTGGCCTCAGGCTGGGACTCAAATTCAGATTCTGTGGTGGTCGCCTGCTGCTGTTCTTTTTGCAGTTGCTCGGCCTCAGCCTGGGCAACTGGTTTTTCCACATACTGTTTGTCATCTATGTCGCGATCGAACTTGGAGGCCTCTTTATCGATGATTTCCTGGCCATAGCCATCAGCTGGAATGGCAGGGATATCCTCGTCATCCAAGTTAATCCTCTTGAGGGTCTCGAATCCAATAACATCCTTGCTGTTACTTTGCTCAGTGCTTCCCTCAGTGGAATCTGTGTTGTCCTTTTCCTCTGACAGTTGAAGAGAGGTGTTGGGCTCATTCCAATCGTAATCCTGCCGACTGATGTCCTTCACATCCACATAGTAGTGTTTCTCGAGGACATCCTTGAACTCCTCCCTGGCACTGTTGTTCCGGTAGATGTACAACCAGGTTTGGAAGGAGGGCAAAGCCACTGCAGCATCCCTGTTCTGATAGTTGCCCAGGATCCTTTTGTAGGCAGCCCTCAGCAGAGTACGATCCTTGGGATAACCAAAGACCTGCTGGAATTCCGAGTAGGTCTCTCCCTCAGAAGCCTCCGCCAAGACGGCCAAAATGGAGGCCACTCCCAAAGGCGAATGCACCTGATTGGCATCGATGTCCTTGTTGAACTTCAGCAGCTGCAGGGCAATCAGCTGGGAAACCTTGCCGGCAAAGGATCCCTGACTCTCATCCTCCAACTGAGTGGGCAAACCACGGCCAAAAGTGGCCAGTAAAGTGACGAATATCGCGCAGAGAACCGCTTTCATGGTAACGACGAGCGCGAATGAAGCCCAAGAAAGTTGGTCAAAGACTTTTTATGAAAGCCAGGCCCCGAGAACCAAGCGAGAACGAAGCTCCAAACTGGTTGGGGAACACTTGGAGATCTCGGGGGCTTCGGAAGGGAGGCTTTATTTGATTAAGCCGCGATCGATCCGACGGACAAAGAAAGTCAACGAAAGTGGAAGTGGCGTGGGCCGCTCTCGAGGGCCCCAAACAAATGGGTCACGCCAACAATCAATATGTAAATGCTACACAACAACTCAAGAAACCAGCGCAAACAAAAGTTCAAAGTCATTGAAATGTTAGAGAGCCAACAACAGGTTTCCAAACTACGACAAACTACGTGATTGACATTTGATTTTCAGGCCGGGTAATTGCATTTTCTTGTACTTATCATAGTGCCCTGCATAGTGTGGCAATCGTTTCCCCGAAATCCAGAATAAACAATTTGAAAACGGGATGTAGATTGCCTCACAGCCTCATGGAGCTATGAAATTTGGCAATCTACTTGGTATCTACCTGACCACGCTTAACCCAGTTTTACTGGCCAATCGAGTGGAGAGACACAAGAACAAATCATTATCCAGCCATCATAAAGCTGGCCAAAACGGTTTTCAACACACTTCGAGGCCACTGAACTTGGCCATCGCAGTTGTTGCTGCCTCTGCTGCTGATTACCAAATGCGATGGGCGGGCGAAAGCGGCTAAAATCGAGAATATGGTAGAAGCAAGTACCGAGCACAGAGAAAAAACTGATAGCACATAGAAAAGTGTCAAATTTTATATCTCATATTCACTGTTTTTTAGATCATAAACTAAGGCTAGCCAATAAAAAAAACTTAACTTTGTCTATGGGTTTTTCTAGGGAGGCTACAGTCCAAATCTTGGCTATAAAAACATATTATTTCAAAAATTATTTTATTCTATATTTCTCACAGCATCGATCTTTAAAACAGAACTAAATTTTATTATTTTCTTTCTGCCAAACTCTTGATTCACGTATAAATCGGTTAATAAAATAATTGGGTAAAAATATCTAATGCAATAAATGTAGTTCTTTTTTTTCAAAGTGCATCAGAAAGTACCAGGTGTGACGCCTATACTTGTTAATAAAAAGTGCTAAATTAAAGCACGGCTAACAAACACAGATTCTTTTAGGAGGCCTGTAAACGAGTTTTTCCGTTTTAGAACGAGTCAGACAAAAAGTTGCACAATTTCATAAGACAGAGAGGTGGATTTTCAGAGGGGATGTGGGGATATAGTAAGTCGCCAGTGCAGCGAACTTCCCAGAGACCCACAAAGAACAAGTAAAGTAAAAGATACTGAACGACTTATGTAATTTATTCGACAAGTTCCGCATTTGTTCCCGATACTCTCCGAATGAGAAAGGTTACTGAACTGTGTGATTAATCGGAGGTGGTAAAAATCCAGTTTAATTAGCATGGAGTGGAATTGGTTCGAGATTAATATAACTTTTTTTGGGCCGCTTTGTGGAGTTCGATAAAAGTTATTTTTAAACGTCGTTAATCTTTTATTTTTAATCATCTGCTTTGTTCTTGGCGTTTTATGATGGTACAAGAAAAAATGTATTTTAGTGTACAAGTAGAATTACATATCTCATCAAATATATTTATTCAAAACAATTTATCATAATTTTATTAATTAGCATTCAGAATTTAGTGTTTTTTTTACTTTTTCCTGAGATAAACTTCAAAATACATTTACGAACTGTATAATTAGGAAGAGATAAACACGAAATCATAGTAATTTCGTAATGTCAACAACATTTAGAGTATTAAATCTTCCACAAAGTCAAATCCACAAAACTTTTTCAGTGTTTGTTACCTTGGGCCTGGTGTTATACTTGAAACAAATACGAGTATTTTGTATTTTTGTTCAGCTTTTTGTCCATAAATTTCAATGCCCAAAACCATAAATTAGTGCCTCTCCAAGTGCTGAGTGGTTGAGGCTTCCGTTTCGACTTCACACGAGCACCCCAAAGGGTCGAAATTCGGGTTAGGTGAATTAGAAGTTATTATGCCAAAACGGCAAACTAGTAAATGTCGCATAAATTAGAGAAGGAATCCGGCAGGACACCTTCCCCGGATTTCTTCCAGCCGGGAACGTTGTAAGACGAGGCTCAAAACAACACCGCGGGGAGACATTAAGGACCAAAATAAGAAGATTCCTCGCAGTGGACAGTAGTTTTTGGGTTGGGAATAGTTGGGTATAACCCGGCATTCGGATTACTCTTTATAGACGGCGTGACTAATTGTTTGATTTATGCAAATGTACTGGAAAACTTGTTTCTAAACTTTTAGTAATTAGTGGGAGCTCGCTTTAAGAAAGTTTTCTCGGGCCAGTCTGCTTTAAGAGTTGCGGAATCCTTTTCCGATTCCGTCTATTTGTCAAGAGGTGAGCTGTCATCTGTCAGCTGTCATAGAGCACGCAATACATCATAAGTCAAAAGGTGAGCCCCTTGGCTCAATTGCTTTTGCCCCGGGCCGCAGCAACTTGCAAAATAATTAAACTTCTGTTTATTCTCTGTGGCCCCTTCTTTTTCCCTCAGAGAACTTCTTAATTATGTTTGATAAACTAACACAGGCCTTCTCCGGATCTCGTTCCTCGCTATCCGCACACATGTCACTTTGACATTTAGCACTCGACAGGACTCGAGGTGATGAATCTTCCCCAACTCCTTCAGCGGCCATGTGTGCGACATAATTACGGAACAAAAGACTCAGGGGAGCGGAGACGGAAAAGGTAAGGCACACTGAAAAAACTAATTTTGGAACATATTCTGATCAACTAAATAATAGTTTTAACGTTAAACTTAAAAGATAGTTTGCAACCACTGAATTTTATTAAGTGCTTTATAATCATACCTAAAAAAATTATGTATGTTTTGTTTGATATATCTGAAAAAGAACGTAAAATCGATTTTCGAATTTTTCAAAATTTAATGGTTGGCGACAATCAGAAGACAATATGTTAAATTAATTGTTCATTTAATCGGGTTCATTTAAAGTATCAAATTAAAATATGAACATAGCAAGTAAGAATATTCTTTACGATAATTAGAATATTAAAGACCAATTTATTAAATTTCTTTCAGTTTTTCAAGTATGTTACTTAGAGGTGGATGTCTAAAGCAGTTGACGGAATTCATGCGCTTCATTTGCTCCACTTAATTCGGCTAACTCCGCCGGCAAAGTACTTTTCGTTCCCTCAATTTAGTCACGTTTTAAACTCGAGACTTAAAACCGCCGAGAGGGGGAGTCACCTCTAACAAGTTGTTTGCTGCGAAGGATCACATCCTGGTGTGTCCTGGTGCTGGGCTCAAAAACTTGCTGCCAACGTGGCGGCAATCCCACTCGTAATTGATTTATGACATCAAAGACATATTTTTCGCAATGTTGCGTGGCCTACGTGCGTGACAGTTGACTGGCTGGAGGTCCTAGTTTCTCGGTCTGGTCCTGATTCTGGTCCTGCTCCTGGCCTGGCCATCTTGTTGATAATTTTGACTTATGGCTGGTGCGGCTGTTGGTCCAGGATTTGTCGCATAACTCTGTCAGTCAAAAGTCGGCCCACAACACAAGACCAAGATCTAGCCCATCTGTTTCTGTATCTCTTATTGCCGCTGTATCTGTATCTCAGCATTTCAACTGGCAATCGGTGGCAAAGTTTTTCTATTAGGCGCAATTATTTCAAGGTATTATTGCTTTTAATTAATTCAATTAAACGCTTCATAAATTTTTACTTTTTGATTTCGTTGCCTGCGGCTGCCTTGGCTGAGTTTTCCTTTAATGGAAAAACTTTGCCCACAGATTTCCCAGCAGCCGAAAAAGGGTTTAATTAACGGTTGGCTGGGGGTTCGTTGGGTGGCCTGGAATTCGCTAATTTGGCAAAGATTTCGGATGTTTATTAAGGGATTCCCGTGGCTCGTCGTAAAATTTGATTTCGCAACTGAAGAACGCAAGTTATTGAATGCCGAGTGGTCGCGTTTATTTGCATTTTTGTGTGCATGGCTGCAAATTCCGGAGAGGCTATTAGCAGTAGCCGATCTAATGAAATTACATTCCCCCAGGAATAAAAATGGAAGTACAACAAAAGCTCAAACTTCAATTAAAAGGTCATCAGCAGTCGACACAGCTGCTGCCCAGGGGTTGGCTTACCTAAAATGTTATTGATATGTAAGAAGCAAGCTCACACCTTACCCAAAAAAAAACGGAGAAAAACTCCTCACATGTGATGACTTCCATCATTATCAACACACACACATGCTGACAGACAGACTGCAGGGAAACTTTTCCTGTAGTCCTGTCTCCGCTTTTCCGTTTTTCCAGCCCTCCCTTGGGGGCCAAATAATCGAACTAGCGTCGAACAACAATTTGTTTTAAATGCCAAAAGTGAGGGCCGGACAATCGAACACCCCGAACCCCTTAATAATTTATGAAGACCGCTCCACATGTGGGTCGGTATGCTGGAAAAGTTTTCTATCACTCCGCTCTAATAGAGATTAAATGCATGTCGAAAAGGCAATTAGTTGGAGCAACCCTCCATGAAGGAAATGCCCTCAACCCCCCCGAAAACACCAACTTGAAGTCCAACTTTCGACCTTTGGTCGCTCATTGAATCAAAGTGTTGCTCAATTTTTCTCAAGGCCTAGGTGTTGTTGTGGATTTCTGGGTAGGATGCCGGGGTTGGTAACTGCCGGAAGCAATTTGGCCGAACCCTTCTCAAAGGGTTTCCTGCGAAACTCAGACGCTGCGTCACTGCTAATTAAACTCGCGCTGTCGCCGCTAATGAGCAATGAAAACAACGTGTTGTCCGAAAACTCTTGAGGAAAACTCCCAAAAAAAAATAAAACGGCTCAAAACTCCATCTGCAGGGGCGGGAATGGGCTGATAAGGGGCCCCGTAGAATCGTCAGGTTGAATCAGCCATCAAAATAATGAAGGCACGGATTTCTCATTACTTTTAAATATTTTTTGTCCTGCAATTTTTCGGGCTTTAAG